GGACTCTGCTGGGAGCTGGCTCAATCCCCCCCACCCCCGAACTTCCTCCTCTCCCCACTGGGCCCTGGAGTTTTTATACTATGATGTGGGGAGCCTCAGAAAGAAAAGGATTGAGAAACCCTGATCTACAAAACTAACTGAAGCAGAAGCAGAGACAAAAAACCATGAATTTTTCAAGATTCAAAAAGGAGTTGTAGACAATTCTATGAATAAATAGCATCAAATGTTACACTAGGTAGGATACTATTGTATGGACTATTAATACTCATGTGTCAGGGCTTAGCCAATAGCTGGGAAATGTTTTCTGTGTGTCATTCCACTGCCTAGGATAGTACTGAACAATGGTTTGAATTTTGGAAGGTTAATACCTTCCTCTGATGCATTCAGCATTAAACACTGTTGACAAAAGGAAACAGGATACTGAGTAGATAAACCTTTGGGTCTGTTCCTACATGAAAATTCTTATGGTTTTGCATTTCTTACTTTTGTGCATTGTTTCCGGAGTTATAAGGATGAATGCGGTTGTCTTTCTGGAAACTGGGGGTGTATCGAGGCTGGCACAAGGAACCCTCTTGGCTGACAAATTTTACTGCAAAATCTCACTGAATTTTGCCCAAAGCTGGACTGAAAAAACACACCCAAACTTACTACCAAAAGGGTGGTGGCAGTCAGCCCCTCTGGGCACGAACACGTAATTCACTGCCAATGGAACCGGCAAGAACCATATATAAATTAAGCTGGAGAGCCTTCAAAAAGAAATGTAAAGAAGCAGATCTCAATTAGATAGAGGAACTTTTATATTTTATTCTTAAAATTATCTCAATTTGCATTAAAATTAAAAGCATATCTCCACTATGGCCATGAACTCCCTTATAGTTTTGGGTGTTCCTCTTAATGAGAAGATCTGATTTCTGTGTCACAAATGAACTCAGGCAAATTGTCAACACTCAAAACTTCTACATATTTCAGTTGCTATTTAAAATTTTTGGGAGGCATAAGGAGAGAAGTTGATTGGTTATCTGGTTCCCATTTACAGAACAATACCTTCTGGAGAAAATATAGTAGTTCTGGAATCATATCTTCGAGACTGTAACAAAAACATAACAGAACAACTCTTGTTATTTTTTTTCCCTTTAAACAGAAGAAACTTTATTCAGTAATACTGTCAATCATGTTCAGCAGTAACATAGTGATTTCAGTTTAATATCGGTGAGACGTATAGCATTACAGGTAGTTTTGTTGCCATTATTGTATTAGTTACCTTTTTTTACTAGTCAAGGGACAGAGTGCTCAATTTGCATTTACGTCAGTGCTTTTTCCTTTATCCCTATCCCAATCATGGTCTTCCTCACAAAGCTTTACAACTAATGCTGTAAACACTTCTGCACATGCTTAATTTAGGTAAGAAATCCCAAATTTAAGGTGGTTAAAGTTAGGCATGTGTATAAGTTTTTTCAAGACTGGGGCCTCTGTTATTTAAAGTCATTTAGCTGCAGAGAGCTTAATGATACTGCTGAACTCAGGCACAAAAAGGTCTCTATTTCATGCATAGTAACTCACCATTTTGCTTGTATGTTGTTACACTGTAAAAAAAAAAAGTCAATACAAAGAATAGGTTTGTAGAACATAACTACATATATTTATCACTCAGACATTGAAAAATGATGTACGAAAGTACTAATTACAGTAATTAGCGCTCAATAACAGAACAGCCATTTCTTTATTATTCTAATAGAAGGGTCTTTTTAAATGTTGTAGTTAAGTTTTTAATGTACATGAATCTCAGTGATAAGATAATTAAAAGGGGGTCGTGGGAATCACCTCGACAGGTGGTAAGTAAACCCGATAAAAAAAGATCCCTTTTCATGCATTATGTCAAAGTAGAAATCGTTGTAATGAAGCTGATCAGTGCCTGTACAAGTGTTGAGGCGGGGGCAGGTTTCTCCCCCTCATTCTCCTGCAAAGTCCATATTCCCAAAGAGAGAAATCTTGGGACAGACAAGGCACCATCCCCTGCACGAGAGGAACTTGGGAGCTAAGTCTCCCGGCCCACTGAGAAGGCGGGTGGTGGGGGGAAGAGAGGCAGGCCCTACCCAGCCCCCTTACGCCCCGACCTACCGAGAGGGGCTGGGGACAGCCACAGTCCCGTGAGAGAGGCGATGGGGTTCCCCCGGCCCAAGGAGGCCGGCTTGAGCCCAGTTCGCAGGCGGCTGCACTGCAGAGTCATCCCCCTCCCCCCGCAGCACGGGAAGGCCCCACCGCCTCCCAGTTCACACCGGGGGTTGCTACTCTCCTCGGGCCCAGCCCTGCCCCACCCCTCGGGCGGCCGCCCCGCACTCACCGCCGCGCTAGGTGCACTGAGGGGCCCGTCCACCGGGAAGAGAGTGTGCTGCCACCGGCCACTGACTCAATCCCTCACCGCCTGCCAAAATGGCCGCCGCGCACGCGCGCTAGCATGGCCTGGCCCATTGGCCGGGGCACTCCCGAGTCCCGGCTCAGCGAGGCGCTGCCGGGGGCGAGGCGAGCGGTTGAGCGTGCGGGGCAGACCGCTCTGCCTGGGGAGAGAGGGTCTGGTGAAGGATCGCTCCGCTCCTAGTCCGGGCCTCTCGCTCCCCTGGCCAGGCGCCTCCGAGCTGGAGCAGGGAGCGCGCGGTCACACCGGCAAGGGCTGGGCTCCTGCCCCTTCAATGTGTCCGTCATTTCAACAGCTCCGGAACTGCCTCACTAAACCCCCTTGTCGCTGAGAACGCGCCAGCCCTGGGGAGGCCTTGAATCTGCCCGGCCTGGCGCCACAGCACTGCAGGTTCCTCAACTCTTCTTCAGTAACCAGACTGGAGAGAGAAATAGCCGTGTCCCCCAGGGGTCTGACCTGGGCACAGTCCTGGTCAACATATTCATAAATTCCCTGGAAAAAGGGGTAAACAGTGAGGTGGCAAAACTTGCAGATGATACAAAACTACTCAAGATAGTTACTTAGGGTTACCATATTTTGTGCCTCCAAATGGAGGACACTCCACGGCCCCGGCCCCGCCCCCAGCCCAGCCCAACCCCC